GGAGGCCACTTCACACTGAGACTCATATGCCTCATTCTTCAAGGCCTTTATTTGGACCAAGGCTGATTTCAAATTCGTAGCGTCTTCGACTTTTTGGGCCTTAGTCTCCTCTGCCTCGACCCTCAACCTCTTTAACTCCTCCTCAACAAAGGCCAACTTTTTTCTGAGGACATGGTCCTCGCTTGGAAGCCAGTGAGGACCTCCCTACGCTCCAAAGCAAGGCCAAAGGAGGTCAACGACATGCAGCACCTACCTATCAGTCCAAAATTTGTAAAAACTAGTTGCAGCACCTCGGACCTCTTCAGAAAGAGCCTCCAACAAAGCAGGGGCAAGCTCCTCTTCATGCCTAGCCAGGAAGTTAGGGGATTTTTTCGGGGTTCTTATGGGCTTCTGCCACGCAGCCTCCTCTTCTGCCTTTATTGTAGCCAACCTGGCTGCATCCTCAGCTGCCTCCTCCGCCTCGACTTTTCGAACCATCTCCACCTTCACCGCCTTCATGACAGAGTCCATGAGCTTCAGTGGTTGGCAGTCCTTGCAGGTTTGGGAAATGGAAGTCCCAAACTTCCCCGAAAAACTAGTGAGGTGGACCAATTTCCTCTTCTTGGAGTCCTCAAGGACTTTCTCTTTTTCCCAAGGCTCCCTATCTTTCTCTTTCCTTGGAACCTCCTCCTCGGTTGCCTAAGAGGTATTGACCTTGGAGAGGCACTCCACTTTGCCTCTCACCTCTTTAGCCCCGCTTGAACTGGGTTTCAGAGGCCGGGCCCCAACAGTAGTGGTGGCCTTCATTATAGTAGCCATGTCGAGGGCGGGGTACTCCCTCTCCTGAACTTATTTGCAACACAAAGAAACGGATTAGAAGTTGACATCAATAAGCAAACTTTTCCATCAGTCTCACTTCTAACCCTTGAAGGCCATAAATCCTAAGTCAAGGAAATAACGGCTTCGATCGATGAGATGAAGCTTCAGAGGACGCTTGTAAATGTCCTCTATAACATTGAACTCCACTTCCTAGAGCTGGTACCTCGTACTCGAGTCTGCAAAATGTGGCAACAGTTAGCAAAAAAGAAATTTCATAAAGCTCAGCAGAATATAAAACAGCTTAGGCTGGGGGACTCACGAGCTTCGTAGTACTGGGTCGGTACCGTGCAACCCAAGGCTTTGTTCCCAACTATTGCTTGCCAGTTGTCTCGAACCCAGAATCACGACTCCTTCCACCCCTTGATGGAAGAAGGCAATCCAACCACAAAAGGGGTGTTCGACCCCCAAAGAGTAATGTAGTACCACCCCTTCGACTCATCTTTGCCCAAGGCTCTGGGCTGAAAGAGGGTCTGGAAGACATGCAAAGGCATATCCTCCCCCATCAACACTTCCTTCCATAGGAAGTAGGACCCCACCAACTGGCTTTACCCATTCGGTAGAACTTGGGTCAGTGACAACATAAAATTCCTTAGCACTGCCATGCAGAAGGGGTGCTGAGGAAGATACAAACCCGCCTTAAACAGGTATTCGCTGACTGCGACACATCCGGGCCTCGGATAGCAAGCTCGTTCATCAGCATTGGGACAACATTTCAATATTATGAGGCACGTAGTACCTCTCCCTTATCTCTTCCAACCTCTTTTGGGTCATATTTGAAGGTATCCTGGACGCACCCCACTCCTTCTTGTAATTTATGGGCTCCTCGATCATAGCATAATGTTTGACCTCGGAGTCCCCCCTACGAACTGACCCCTCCCCAAACGATGCGACAGTGACTCCCCCTACCCGAAGTGGACTCCATATCAGAATAAATTTGAAAAATGAACAAAGATCAGAAAATAAATTCTCGCAAGAAATACTTACGCAATCGACTAAGGACACTGAGGGACGTCGAGAAACGTGAATGGAGCAAAGGTTGAACGCCGGAATACGATATTTCCAACAGACATAGAATTGCAGAGATAGAAATGTCACAAAATGGGAGTCTCTTGCCTTTTATACAAGTTTAGGTCAAACACCAGCCATCAGATCAAGCTCATTAAAACTGGGCCATTCATTGCAGATCGAATCCAAGGCGTAGAATTCAAATCGTTTTCAAAATCAACACCTCTGATCCAAACGTGCTTTTCACGCACCTCTCCAAACGCGTCTCTTCCTCGAAGCCCCAGTTGTAGCCATCATTGCGCATTTAATGCAGTAGCCATACGTACCCAGGAAGTCGAAACGGTTTGACCACCTTTTCTTGGTAACATGCACAAAACATCAAATCATTGGCACAAACATCAAAGACAGTCATCTCTTCGCAAGCCTCGCAGGTTTGGTTTCTCAACCGCTTTGGCTTCTTCATCACAATTCAACCATCACAAGCCTCGTCGGTTCGATTTCTCAAACCACCTCAGCCTCTTCATTACAATTCAACTTTCACAAGCTTCGCAGGTTCGATTTCTCAAACCACCTAGGCCTCTTCATTACTATTCAGCTTTCACAAGCCTTGCAGGTTCGATTTCTCAACCACCTCGGCCTTTTCATTACAATTCAGCCTTCACAAGCCTCGCAGGTTCAGTTTTTCAACCACCTCGGCTTCTTCATTACAATTCAGCCATCACAAGCCTCGTAGGTTCGATTTCTCAAACCACCTCGGCCTCTTCATTACAATTCAACTTTCACAAGCCTCGCAGGTTCGGTTTCTCAACCATCTCGGCTTCTTCATCACAATTTAGCCATCACAAGCCTTGCAGGTTTGATTTCTCAAATCGCCTCGGCCTCTTCATTACAATTCAGCTTTCACAAGCCCTGCAGATTCGATTTCTCAACTACCTTGACTTCTTCATCATTCATCCACAACAACACATTTCTAACTCCAACCATGATATAAATATCTATACTTGGACTTGGGGGACTGTTATTTGGGGTTCAAAAATTCTTTCAATGTTTACCCAACTCACTGGCTTTACTTCATTAAAGTTTACGCATTACATGAATGACTATACTTGAACTTAGGGGACTATTGTTAAGTGTGCCAACCCACTGGGGCCTATAGCCCACTCATGCTGGACTACATGGCACTTCAGTCGTGGTGGTATGTATGGCTGAGGCCCATATACCAAGAACACTGAAAAGGTAGCCGAAGCCCTAAAACGGAAGTATTATGTGAGTGGCCGAAGCCCTGAAGCTGAAGCAGGAGATCTACATAAGGATCTTGTTTGAATGATTGATGGGACGTTTGTCATAAGTGTAAATGTTAAGTCTTGTCATTAGTATGAGGGTTCTGCGTAAGTAATAAATGTGATGCATAAGTAATAAATATGCAGCAAGCAAGAAAGTCAAGAATGATGTCTAGGATTAGATGTTTGAGTTAAGGAGATGAGGCCCGTGCCTCCTCATCCAAAGGCTACCATTTCACATGTACTACTGTAAATACTTCCCTTGTGTAACATTAAAGGGCTAATGCAAGAATCAATACAAGGAACAATACTTTACTCAACTCTCTCTTATTATCTGGCAACACAATACGAGTTTACACATTTTTACATACACATTTACAAACATCGATTGGTAATTATTGTACAATCTGTCTACGAACATCTTGTCGGATTTTGAACGTTCTCGTTCCGCGCCGTACCGTCTACGTGTCTTTGCATGTTGGACTTTCGCTTACGTGTGAGCGAGTGGGTCCGACATCTGTTAGCAATTTTTTTTGGGGTCAACAACTACCACTTAATTTATGATAATAAATAACATTATGCGAGAAAAAGAAGGTAAGCCTCTCTCCTGTTTGTTCACAAATCGTCTCCCTTCTATAGTAGGAAGACAAGATCGCAAGGGAATCACTAGTTCCATGCCTTCTACTTAGGCAAGCCGAATCCGCATCTACTCTAGCAAGAGAGCAAACTACCATGAAAAAATCACGATGAAAGGGGTGATTTAGAAGAGTTGAAATTTGCTTCAAAATTGACTTTCCATCAATTATTCATCGACTCGTCATTTTATACCTATTTTTAAGCACAAGTGACAGTGAGCGAAAAGTTGAACATATTAATTTAAAGTGATGTGTCAATAAATAATCGGGTGGACAGCGAATCTCAACTAGATTTAGAATTTTAGCATGGCTGCTTTTTGAATAGTTGCCCCGTATTTCATCATTTCAAGTACTGCATACATATATCATAATTTCATATCATAAAAACCATAGGTTTAAAGGGAAAAAATAAATAAATAAAAATTCATATATGGTAAGTCAAAAATCTATCCATTGAAACAATCAATTTCTGCCCTCAAGTAGGAAGGCATGCCGATTTCATTGTATTTTATGCAACTTAAATTTTTATGGGACGAACTTAGTTCCATTATCTCTGCCACTCCATTTATATATGATAATGCTAAAAACATTGTTGTTCAACAGAGATCGTGCCATGGAGTTTCTTTAGGGACTCCACGATCATTTTTCAATTATTCACAGTCAAGTTCTCTCGATGGAGTTGTTTCCTTCAATTCAACTTATATGCAATTTGGTACTTCAAGATGAAAAACAATAGGAGATTATCAACAATTATTACTGCTAATTCGACAACGCTTCAAACATTTAAACCACCAATTTAGCCTTCTGGAAAAGGTCAACGTCCTTTTTCTGAACATTGTAACAAGCATGGTCATAATCTTGGTACATGCTACCAGATCCATGGCTTCGGTAAAAAAATCAAGCAGATGGCGATCTACTTCTGCTACTTTCACTAGTCAATTGAACTTGAACAATATAACAAGCTTCTTGCACTTCTAGCCAAAGAGGAATTCTGTGGATCATTAGTCCATTTGGCAAGTACATCTCTTACTTGTGTATCCTCTAATAGGATTATCGATTCAGGTGTTTCTAATCATATATGTACATCTATTTCTTTTTCTTCATATTTTATTGTTCATACAAGTAGTGGCGGACCTGCAGTTGGTCCCGGTGCCTCACATGACCCACCAATTAAAAAGGATTTTTTTTTTTGAAATAGAAAACTATAAAACTGAAGAAATAAAAAAAACCCTCCCACTTTCCAATTCACAGTCTCCAAGCCGTTCCAAATTCTCATCCCCATATTCCACTACCAAATTGAAATTCAATGCAAGAAACCTTCCCACTTCCAATTCAATCCTGTCTTCGGGCTCGGCTGCTCTCAATTCCAAATGTTGAAGCAAAATCTAGCCATTTAATCCTCCCTCGTCGTCGCTGCCAACCGTTCGACTCCATCCGCTAGTGATTCTACCACCACAAACGGCTGAAGACAACAATACACTTAGAATTGTAAGGAGATAATTATTCCTATTGTGCTGCAGTTTTATATAAGAAATTTAGGATTCAATATTTCAATTTCTTATTCATGTTAATTGCAACCCGTTTCCTGTTACTTTATTTCCCATAATTTATTCCTGTTTTTTATATTTAAATGTGTATTTATCTTATTTTATATGTTTATCAACGTCCAATCTTTGTTGGAAAATACTTCTATAAATGTATTTTTGTTTGGGTGAATCTATGTTTCTTAGTTTCTGTTCCATTTTTAATATGTATAATTATGAGGTAGACGGATATGTAGGGATTTGCATGTCACTAGCATTGAGATTTGGATGGAATTTTTGCGAACGTGAAATTTGATGAGGAAAATGTCTTATATACAACCAACTTTTGTTTCAAATAAGACTGATGATTAATTATAATTGACTAAAGAGGCCAATCTGTCTAAGCAAATGCAAGTGATTTAAAACATTGGAAGCAAAATTGGTAGATCAATGTATTGTTCAAAATTATAATAACCATCTAAATTTCATTATCATTATTTGCTTCATTTGAAATTTATGGTGGGAAGTGGTTTTTTTAAATTTTCTAATGATAAATGAAGTACGTGACAAATTTTCTCATGAAGGATTATTTTGAATTAAATCAGAATTTGGGAGTGTTGTGTGTTTCTTGTTTATTATGGAATATTTTGTTACTGTAATTTTGCTTTTTGTTAAATCTTTTTTTTTTCTATTAGTTGAGATATATACGTAGTGCTACCTGCTCGCTCTTCGTCGCCATTCTATTGTATTGTTACTTGATTCCACTCCTCCATCATCATTCGCCAAAGCATTAAGGTTAGTATAGCATTCTGATTTTAATTCCCGTTCGGTGGCTCCAGTCAATTTATGATTTTAGCGAATTTGTGATTTGTGAATATGTGATTTGTCAATTGTAAATTTGTTGATGGATAATTAATTTTTGATTTGTGTTTGTGAATTGTGATTCGTGAGATTTAGTTGGGGATTGTATCAACAATTCGAAATAGATACAATATTATTAATGAGATTGTAATTTATGAAATCGTTAAACTTAGTAACTTAAACCATTATTGATAGAAAGATTACTTTTTCACTTGAATTGATTCTTTTCATTATATGTTTGTATCCGTTATGGAAAAGTACTTTAAATGTAAATCTGCGTTTCCTTGCGGTGAGCAAAATGTTAATGAAAGAAATGTTCGAGATAAAAGGGATGGACGTGATGCTGGATATAAAAAGGATGACGAACTTGGTGATGAAATGAATGAAATTGGTGGAACTAGTCTTGGAGATGTCCCAATTGAAATAAATACTAGGGATATTGGGGATGAAAGGCTTGAATTTGATGTTGCACAGCTTCCTTCGGATCTTGGATTGAGGATTACAATACAAAATTATGATGCTGATGTTCGAGATGTAGTTCAAAGAGCATATGTGCAAAGGGGTCCATGTCAGCCTCGCAATCATGAATTTCCACCCAAAAAAAAATGGCTAATAAAGATAGGTGATTTTGTATTTCATGGCATAACGAGTATCCTAGTTGGTTGGAATATAGCATAGCAAAAGATGCTGTATTTTGCTTATACTACTATCTTTTTAGCTCAAGTGATGGTTCATTTGTTAATGGTGGGTTCTCAAATTGAAAAAGAAAGGACATTAATAGAAAACACGTCAGGGCACCAAGTAGTACACACAATCAGGCTCGGGTCCTGTATGAATCATTCAAGAATCAAAGACAAAGCATTCAATCGTGTTTCATTAAACAGTCACATCAAGCTTGAACAGAGTATCGAATTCATTTGAATGCATCAATTGATTGTGTTCAGTTTCTTCTATGACAAGGGATGGCCTTTCGTGGACATGATGAATCTGAAGATTCAAACAATCGAGGAAACTTTCTTAAACTATTACATTGGTTGTGTGATCATAATGCTGAGATTAAGGTTGTTTCTTTGACAAATGCACCTGAAAATCACAAATTGACGTCACCACAAGTTCAGAAAGATATTGTGAGTGCTATCGCTTCTGCAGCTCTTAATGTGATTATCAAAGATATGGGGGATAGCTTGTTTTCTATTATAGTTGATGAATCTCGAGACATTTCAGTGAAAGAGCAAATGTCAGTTGTTATTTGTTATGTGAAGAATGGGCGTGTATTGGAACATTTTATTGGTGTTACGCATGTTTCAAGCACTACAGCTGTTGCACTTAAGGCTGCAATTGATCAATTATTCTCCACGCATAGCTTAAGTATATCTAATTTGAGAGGTCAGGGATATTATGGAGCGAGTAATATGCCAGGTGAGTATAATGGTCTCAAATCACTTATTTTGAAAGAAAACCTAAGTGCTTACTACATTCATTGCTTTGCTCATCAACTTCAACTAGCACTTGTAGTTGTAGCACAAAACATCCAAAAATTGAAGCTTTCTTCACTTTAGTACACAGGTTGGTGAATATTGTTGGAGGATCGGCTAAGCGAAGTGATCTTATTTGAGAGAAACAAAGACTTAAAATTCTTGAAGCACTTAGTGTCGGTGACATATCAAGTGGACTAGGTCTCAACCAAGAAACTACTCTTAAGCGTTTTGGTGATACTCGTTGGGGGCTCTCATTACAGTTGTTTGATTAACTTGATTCTCATGTTTTCAGCCACTGTTGATGTTATTGAAGAGATTGCTACTGATACTACAAGTTCCGGAACAAGAGGTGATGCAAATATTTTATTGGAGACAAAGGAAAGATCAAGATATTGTCAATGCCATGAAATTGGTGAAATTATGTAAAGTACAGATGCAAACCATAAGGGATGATGGATGGGATTCTTTTTTTGGAATGGTTTGTTCATTCTGTGAAGCTCATGAGATCAATATTTTAAATATGGATGATATGCTCATAGCTGTAGGTCGTTCACGATGTCGCACAGTGACAAATTTGCATCACTATCGCGTCGAAATGTTTTATGCCATCATTGACGTGCAACTTCAAGAATTGAATGATTGTTTTTCTGAGGTAAATAATGATTTACTCCTTTGTATTGCGTGTTTGTGTCCAAATAATTCATTTGTTGCTTTTGACAAGAACAAATTGATTCGACTATGTGGGTATTATCCAGCAGATTTTGACACAACAGATATCTCAGAACTTGATGATCAATTAGATACATATATTCTTGACATACGCACTGATGAAGAATTTGAAGGATTACAAGACCTTGGTGATCTAGCACAAAAATTGTTAGCGAAAAATAAGCATGAAGTGTATCCATGTTTTCAAGCTTGTGACATTAGCCTTAATTCTTCCCGTTGCTACTACTACAGTCGAGAGAGCATTTTCCGCGATGACTTACGTAAAAAATCGTTTGCGCTATCGAATTGGAGATCAATGGCTAAATGATAGTTTGGTTGCATATATTGAGAAGGACGTATTTGACAGTATCGAAAATAATGTAATAATGGAACGTTATCAAAATATGAAAATTCATACAGAACAATTGTAATAAAATATCGAATAGATAAATTTTTTCGTAACTTTTTGTACAAGTTATATTGTGCCCCACTAAATCCTTATGTTTGCGTCCGCCACTGCATATAAGTGTATCAATTAAATTGCTTAATCATTCTCGAGTGCCAATGACACATAGGCTCGGTACATTGTTCATCGTCATTTACGCTCACGAATGTATTTCACATCTCGTTAGTTAAATTAAATTTATTATCTATTTCACAATTAACAAAGTCAACAAATTGTGAAGTAGTTTTTCATCCTTTGAACGTTTATTTCAGAATCGAGCAACGAAGAAGAAGATCAGTACGAGTAATGCTCGAAATGTTCTTTTTTATCTAGATGCAGATTTAGATTTTAATTCTGCCTTTTTCTTTCAAGGATTGAAATAAATTTGACCTATGTCATTCTCGCATTGGATATCCTTTTAGGCCTTGTTTTTTATTTTATTGTTAAAAAATCTCCAAATATTGTTGCCAATAAAGATTTTGTTTATGGTGTCCCTGCGTGCTAAACAATCGTGTCTCTCTCTTTCTCAAGGTACATTTTGTTCTTCTCAGTGCTTTGTTAATTCTTTTTACCTTCTAAAAATGGGTCATATATGTACTTGGATTTATTTAATGAACCTGAAACCTTCAATATGTTAATCATATCTCATTATCAATTGATTTTTCGCTAGCAAATTATTTTTCCTTGTCCCATCTTAGACATTCTCATCGTGTCTTCCTAAATAATATCATTGAAAATCAAGAACCGCAATCTTTTTCTCAAGTCATAAAATCTGAAGAATGGTGTGATGCCATTGCCAAATTAATTTTGGTTCATGAATATCAACACTTGGTCTTTATGGTTACTTCTCAAATGGAAATCATCCATTGGTCGTAAATGGATCTACGAAATTAAATATTGGTCTGATGGTTCTATTGAGAGATACAAAGCTCGTTTAGTTAGCAAATGATATATTAAAGTCGAAGGCATTGATTACCATGATACCTTTGTACTTGTGGCCAAACTAGTTATTGTTCATCTTTTTCTCTCCATTGCTACTATTAAAAATTGAATAATGCTATTTGTAGTCACTTGCGATCGTTCTACGTAGTATACACGTGGTAGTTAGTGATTTGATATATGAGGCAAGAAAAACTACCACATTAATACATTAAATTACAAATCGTCATGTAAGATGCCACGTAGCACAACTACTACAGTGAGCGACTATGAATAACATTATTCCTAAAAATTGGTTATTGCACTAACTTGATGTTAACAATGCCTTCTCCAAGGAGATCTCAATGAAAAAGTTTATATGAAACTCCTCCCCAAATTTTCTTGTAAGAGGGAGATTCGTGCATGCAAATTAAATAAATCTATCTATGGTCTTAAACATGCTTTTCGTCAATGGTTCTCCAAATTCTCAACCACTCTTATTCGTTGAGGTTTCCGTCAATCTATTTCAGACCATAATCTTTTTACTTATATTCATGATCAGACTTCTATTTACATTCTCCACTATGTTGATGATATCATTATCACTAGAAATAATCATGATGTCACTCCTGACATAGAAAAATATCTTGCTCAATCTTACTCAACAAAAGATCTTGACAATTTTCGGTATTTTTTAGTTATTGAAATATCTCGCTCTAAGGAATGAATTTTTGTGTGTCAATGAAAATATATTCTTGACACATTATCTGATTCTGATATGGCTGGTTCTTGACTATCAGATTTTCCTACGGAGAAACATCTTCGATTACAACCAAAAAATGGTAGTCCCCTTCCCGATCTGACAATCTATCGTGGATTCGTAGGTCGTCTTTTATATCTCATTGTAACATGATATGATGTTCAATATGCTGTAAATTCTAGTCATATTTCTTGATCAGCTTCTGATTCTTTTGCGGAAGCGGAAATATCGTTCCCTTGCAACACTTAGTTCTGAGTTGCAATGGTTAAAATATCTTCTCTTGAATCTTGGTATTAATCATCTACAACCAATTCCAATTCATTGTGATAGTCAAGCTACTATTCACATTGCCAAAAACCCCGTATTCCATAAACACACCAAACATATTGTAATTGTCTGTCATTTTATTCAAGAAAAGATTCGAGCAGGTCTTTTTACTCCCTACAATCTAGCAATCAATTGACGAACCAGGCGATGCTTATTGTCAACTACTTCGTGGGTATTCTTGACATTTCAATCCCATCTCCATCTTGAGAGCGGGTATTGGATGAAGGAAGATAAAATCATATATTAGTCCAATCTTTTAGTTTAAAGTAATCAATTATTTTATTGTTGTATATATCTTGTAAATTTCAATCTTTCAGATTTTAGAGTTATCAATTTTCCATCTTTGTGTATATTTATTTCTTGTAAATTTGCCTATAAATACAAGGCAACTGCATGAAATATACAACAATTCACAAAATATATTCTTATTCTCATTTTTGTGCTAACAAATTTCACATCATACTTCACAAGATATAATAAGTAAAACATCTTGTCCATTATAATGCCGATTCCTTTAGAAGATCTTTGTGCATATTTACAACCTTGTTATCAAATTGTTTACTACATTAATTCTTCAAAATATCAGCATTATTACATGCACTCATCAGACTAATGCACAAATGATAGAATTTGTAATTGACACAAGGTTTCCGAATGTAGAGGAAAAGACTCAAAAAACCTTTTTCTGTTCTGTGAAGGCAACTTAACATTTGGCTTTAAAGTGCCTTAGTCGATTTCTACCTGCCTTGTCAACTGATAATGATGAGTCAATATTATTTTCATCTGTTCTCTTTTTCTAGTATCTGCTCCAGCAAACATTTCGGCTTCCAAAAACATGATCTCTGGAAAGATATTATTACCTCGGGATCCAGATACTCGCACATTACAGCAGAAATCTACTTACAAAGACAAGATTTATGAACTCAAACACAAGAATTTCCAATCAGCAACCAGGCTCCTGCTTCAGATAGATCCCACCAGATGAAAAAAACATCACGGGCTGAAGAAACCAAGAAAAAATTAGTGAGCTATATTGCAAGACGAAAAGTCAGATTAAGACAGACCCCACAAATTGAAATGTTGCCTACTCAGCAAAAGAATTCACATGTAGGTTATGGAAAATCTGGCAATTTAAATGAAGCAGCCTCTGAAGCAAAATTTATGGCACCATGGTTTTTATGTTATGTGCTTTTCATTTAAATTAGCTCGAACTGAATGACATAAAGCATCATAACATTGTTTGACTATGTAGAAAAGAATGGATAGTTTCATACCACCTTGCCCCAGTGAAAATTTCTCAGAGGTAAAATTTAAGGCTTAATAAAGAAACGAAAGACGTTATAAAAAATTCATTGCAGCGTCTTTATGTTTGCCATCACAGCATTATATTATACTAAACATCGCACCAGATCTAAACTAGTCAGCTTGTGCTACTGTGCATGATTGAAGATGTTAAATTGAAAGGAAGCAAGGAAACTTCACAATCTCCATGCATGAAAAATAGCATCTGGTGACAAAGGGAAAGATTTCTTTATGAGAAAATTAAGGCATCCTCAGTGTACCGAGATATTCAAAAGCAATGGCCGTGAAATCACCTGAGATGAACTAGGCAAAATACTACTTGCAAGTTCCTCATTTATGATTACAGGAAGTGGGGGCATCCGACTCATTATCCCAGGCATACTTCTCATTCTGCAAGCACCAAAAACTTTGTAGCTTCAAAAGACCATCACAGAGACAGCAATCAAAGTATCAAAAAACAAAAAACATAATATGCTAATATGAATGACATACTCGTTTAACACTGCAGTTATATTGTTCCTTGCACGGCAAAAGAGATCAATATTCTCCTGCAACTGATCACAAGAAACTTTGGGATCAGAATTAAGCATAAATTTGTGCTAAATTTAAAAGCAAGGGAAAAAAGATAAAATATGCAAAATAAACACAGAAGATGTTAATTCATATCTCATACAAAACATATAATTACGATAGGTTGTAAAATGGAAAACAAAAGAATCACATGGATAAATGCACACCAATTGAAATTCTATCCTGCATAGGAATCCAAAGTTCATTTTTTGTTGCAAGATGAGATGGTCCACATAATGCAAAGGTAATCTAGAACTGCCTTACAAATCAAACCAAGTTTTGATGTTAACCAAAAAAAAAAAAAAAAAAAAAATAGAAGCTTGGTTACTAAGCCCCTGTTTGATCTCCATTAAATTAAATTACATTACATTCCATTTTTCTCTCTTATTTTCAACCACATAATCTTTCATAAAATAATATTACACATAAATCGAAAACTTTTCATTCTTTTTCAACCACTCATTTTTCTAAAAAATACTATTCCCTTCATTTTCATTTTCAAGTAATCGGCATCAAACAGGGGCTAATTATGATGTCAAGATATTTCAGAACAGAAAAATATTCTTCGATGAAAGTCTATCTATGATAATAGCGAAGAAACTCTCACGCATAAAGTGAGAAGGATCAAGCACCAAAGGCAGAAATATTGAAGCAACGCAGATCTAACATCTGTCCTAAGCAATCCTATGAAGGAAATTCAAGACGTTGTGAAGTTCAAGATCCTATGAACTCAGTCCAAGAGCATATAGAAGAATAAATGGACATCTAAATCTTTACACAAGGACAATTCCAATGAAGGAATTGCTAAAAGCTTGGTATGAAATCCTATTGGATCGCAAAAACAGTCCAAATAAGCACCATATGGAAACAATAAAGGAGACTGAAGGCCAAGAGTGTCATGGAAATGAAAATAGAGCCAATAAGTGTTTACCACTTCGATAAAAGTGGAGTTTTTCAAAATTCAAACTTCCTCCTCATAGTTCCAGACTTTATAGACAAATTCCTACATTGTTCCCATGTCAAAATCAAAATAAAGTTGGAAAATCCTAAGTTGCATATGAACAATGTCTTCACAACAGAATATTTTCTAAAATCATCTTTTCCAATATGAAATACTGAGCCCTTCTTTTCCTGATTCTGTTTTTAACTTTTACCTGCGAAACTAACAAATTTGAACCGTTCAGAAGTCAGAACTGATCAGAATTATTATATGTGGGTACAATCCCAAAATCATTTAAGAACCCTCACCTACCTTAGATATTATAGCAAGATTTGCCATTAACATTTGTGGAACGTCAAGGAGAATATGACTGTGTGAGGACACAAGGCATCCTGGGCCAGCATCATTTGCCACTGTTTGCCTTTTTTAGACTACTAGCTTTTTACTGAGGAAGATTTTGTTCTGTTGTATTTAGTATTTGTTACAGAAATTTTTTCAAATAGTAGCATGTAGTGCATACGTTACATTTTGCTAATTGTTATTTCCTAGAACTAGGTCCATTTCATTTAAAAAATTGACAAAAAAGCCAAGGGTTGATATTAAAGTGGGATGACAGAAGTATAGGTTGTGACATAACTCATAAGTATAGATCGTTGGTACTTGGTAGTGGGAAGGATATAAAAGGTGGTAGATGCATTACATTGAGGTCCGAATATTTGCTTAAGTCTGATACAAGCCTGGTTATTTTCTTCCAGAAGATGGGGTGTCACTTAAATCAAAGCTACCGATAAAGACTTTTACCACACATTACTAATTTATTTCCGCTACATGCATTAATTTTGCTTATAGAAATTTTTGACCGCATTTTTATTTATTATCATTTCCAGATACCAAAGTTGGCACCAGCACATAAAAATTCTACAATTTTTCAGAAATAATATCCCATTAAATAGCTTAAGAGCAGGTATTTCAAGTATAGCAGGCTAGCGTAACTTTTGAATAATTCTCTTAGATGTAATAGCCAGATTTGGCATTAGCATTTATGGTACATCAAGGAGAAACTGAGGACACAGCAAGTCTTGGACCAGTTCGCTGCAATTTCCAAGAAAGTTATCAAATAACATTATGATTGGTCCATCCTCCTGTCCAACATCAATTGTTACTGTTGACCTTTTTAGTCAATTCAAACTTTATTCAGAGGCATAATTCATGTTAATAGAACGTTCTGTATAGCAGATAATATTCAGGTTGTTCCAAGAACTAAGCAAAATTAACTTAATTTGTTAAAAATGGTGAAATTGACCAAAAAGCCAAGGGGTGACGATTAAAGTCGGTGGAGACAGTACAAGTTAAGACATTAGTGCCCCCAATCTACCCCCACCCCAGGGGACTATGTGCATCCTGCATTATAGGCCCCATAATATTATGTTGAGAACTCTTTTTTCTACATACTCATTCTCAACCATATATTCATGCAATAAAATATTCTGCACGTAAACCCAATAATTTTATCTACTTTTTAACCACACATTCTCCTAAAAATCACTATTCAAAACACTGTTTTGGCCAAATAATGGCCATCAAACAAGGGCTATATAAAACAATAAATAGATAATATATGCTCCTTTCCTTTCTGGGATGTTTCGAAATAATATCTACCTCCCCAACCTGGACATTTGTAAAAACATTCAAACTACCTAGAGGACAGAGATATTACCTTGAGGGTAGAAATATTTGCTGAAATTTGAACAAAAGCCTGGTTGTTTTCTTCCAAAAGATGTTTTGTAGTGCCAGTTAATGCTGAAAAAAATGCATAATTAGTGCATTAATAACAGTTGCCAGAAGCTATCACAATATCAACAGTTCACATACGCGATCATATATTCACATTATACAAGTGATAGGAATGAAAAGCACATCGGAAAATCATAGAATACTTTTACAAGATAGGCGGCTCCTGAATACCAATGTCTTAAAGCATATATAAATCAAAGTTACCGATAAAGCTTTCATCTGCATAAACAAATTAGACCAATGCACTTTAGAAGTAAACTACAAGTTTTGCAGATACTGGTTAAGATCACGCAAGTAAATATTAAGATGTAGAATTTCCGGGTCACGTGCAAGACGTATTTTGCATAATTTCCAAGAAATGACATGGTCTAACAGCAAGAACGATTATGAAAATATACTATAGACCAGAAAAACATATAAAATGAAGTAT